TTAAACTATTAAAGCTGAACGGAGAGGAAAAAAGAGCGCGTGAAATTCGAAGATTATGTACTTTGGTGCACGAACTCGAGCGAAACGAGTGTACGCGCATGCAGGTGCATGTACTACACTTACTCTTACTATCTTTCTCTTGTATTCGGTTTTTGTGCAGCCACTGCTACGGAAATTTATTTACCTGCTCAACATCCTGCAAGATTGTCGAAGGAATATTTCCGTACGTTTTTGTTGCACTTTATATGCAAGAGTTATAATTCCCGTGTGGAATTATAATCTAATTTATAATCGAGTCGATTATAATTTTTTTCCCTTTTGTCGTTTCAAGCAAACTTTCCCGCGACAAAGTAACTTTAGACTTTATTTTGAGATAACGCTGCTGTTACATTAGCGAGTATTCAAAGAGATGGTATCGATATATCGCGTGATAGGGCAATTTGAAGAAAGTTTCCTTTTTTAGAATTTTTCAACTTGTAAGCTTGTAGGGGCCCTCCCTACTTAATTGCCCTGACTAATATAGCCGTTGAAACGTGGATAGTTGATTACATCTGCACTCTACGTGAAAGACGTTGACTCGGAACTTTGCAATTGTACTCTAAATCACAATAACTGCAAGGTTATACAGGTGAGCCTGTTAGATAGCGAGAGAGGACCTGTGGGTGGTGGATGACGACAGGAGCGGGGTGGAGGGGAAGAGAAACAAGCGATACCAGGAGCAATCGAAAACAGAGTTGCCTGGCTATAAAAATGAGACAGAGAGGGAGTGAGAAATGGAGGTGATTGGGAGTTTTGGGGGGGGGGTGGAGGGTGGAGAGGAGATTTGCTTAATGGGAGTCGCAGGTGAGTCGCCGACAGAGGCTCGTACGCTTCCGCATTCCCGGCCCACAGCCTCGGGGTCCGGCTTAACCTTGCTCGCACCTTCTTTAAATCACACTGGCCTCCCGTTGTCCGACTCCTCGGTCGAGGACGGCCTGGAACACTTAGTTCCCGAGGTGGGAAATGCCATCGCCGCCGAGTGCCGATTAAGCTCTGCTGCTCCTTCTCCACATCAGCTCTTTCGTGCGCTTTAAGAATCGTATGATGATTTGATGGTTATCCAATGGACTGTCGAGCTATATTTTTCATTGTCATTTAATAATATTCTCTCTCTCTTTTTTTTTTAAGATTGTGCATTCGGTTGATACTTGTATCGCTCTCCGAATATACAGATATACGATTGCTGAATGTGAATTGTTTTATTAAATATCTCGCTGATTGTTGCAATTTCCACTCTACAACGTTAAATTAATAAATAATTATATATATATATATATATATATATATATAATATGGTATATTCGGAATTTTATTGTAAGCATTCGTGTTAATATGACGTTTTTAAGTTTCGTCGAATTTTTAATACTTTGTAGTTAATAACTAATAATAATATCCAGTTTATTTTATTATACCAGGAAATGACAGGAAATTGTATAATTTGCATACTTTAAAGCCTTCTTTCCATTTTCTTTTTTGTGCATTCTCTTGACAGTGACCTAAGCAATTTACATAATACGAAGGAAAAATAGTACAGAGAAAATGCTATGCTACATCGTAATTGTGCTGCAATTGAAATTGTTCTCCATAATCCGTTATTCATATTCACTGGAAATTTCCATGTGTGCACGTTTAATAAATAATATTTATCATAATTATTTTATCATTGCCGAAAAATGGTTATTTCATTATTCTTGATTATGCGATTGTTTAAATATATATTGTTTGTAATAAAAATTTGCCATTGTTTTTTTACGATAATAAATTGTAATTTTTAAGTTGCACATAATAATGATTATTTAGAAAATAATAATGTCATTCAATTAATATAAAAAAAATATATATTTCTTTATTGTTAGGAGCGTTTGGTTTAAATATTTATTAAGGATGGAATTATTCAAATTTACGTAAATATGTATTTAGTCGATAATGAGGAAAGAGATGCATTTTTTTATTTTGTCTCTACTCACTCCCCCTTCCATCTCCCCCATCCCCCCTCCCCCTCCTCCTCCTCCTCATCTCGTCACCTATAATATAAATTTTGTTTAATACCTATGACAAGCTCATCGTTAAAGAAAAGATAATTTTATTGCAAATATTGACATGGCTCAAGATCGATGTAACTTGATGTATGTAACCCACGACTATAAGTTTCTTTATTTTCGCGAGGATTTGTTTGTTTATTCTTTCGTTTTCTGTTTTTTTATTAATTTGAAAAGATTGAGAAAATAAGATACGCAAATATGTATTGATAAATAGAAAATGGATGAAATTTCACGATATGACATTTTTAATATGAAATTGAATACGACCATTGTTAAATGATGCATTAAAGACGGAGTACGTGAAATAAGCAGCATAAATAATTCAAATAAAAATTATAAGAGTCAAGCACGTATTAAATAACAGTTAACAAATGTATTAACGCCTTACGGTAAAACTTAAAATTAATGCATATTGAATAATTAAAAAAATTGTCCATAAGTGTAATAAGAGATACAGGCTATTCATTTTTAATAAAACGTATACGTTGAGCGTGTGCATGAAATATAATAAAGATACAAACGTACATATTATCCTTGTAATTTGTCATATTTGAGTTATAACCAGAATTGAAATACGATCGTAAGCTGAAAAATGAGATTATGCGCGCGCACACGCGTACACATTATATGCCTTTTGAGTTAAATAACGGTACGAACGAGTTAAAAGAAACTTTACGAGCACCTAATCAATAAATATCCTTCCAAATAATACAAAATCACGTACAAAGTTAATTAATGCATATTGATAAATAACTACTTCACCATTAAAATTATGAATTCTCAATGGCTCCTCCTCCTTATGGGCATTATTATAAATAGTTGGCAGTCGGTATGTTGCATTGGAATGGCGATAATACCTAATTAATAAAAGCTTAAAATTACCGGACTCATGGAAGGGGCATTGACGCAACGGTAAATAGGAGTATTTGGACAATAGTGGGAATGCGACGCAAAGCGTTAATTTGCATTTGAGACGAGAGTCAGTCTGAGCCTCGATAGCGACGTGAAAGGTCGCGAAGATCCTAGCTGTCCGTTACTGCTAAGCGCACGTTAACACTCGCGAGCATACCTCCGCGTGCCTTACCATTATTATTATTAAATCCGAGCTTATTTTATCGAGAATCGTGGCTACTCGCCTACCGGACAGCCAATCGCATAGCCAATCGTCGATGCGATTTTTCACGAGTTGGCGAAGACTCGAGAACGCCGAATCGAGCTGGCCGTCCTATTTTCGCCCGTCAAAGCCGATCCTACGGAATTAGAAGTAAGACCCGTCGTGTTAGCCCACTTACTCCTGTCCCCGCGAATCTCCCTCCCCATTTTCACTGGGATCCATGAGCTTTTAAAGCCAAAAGTAGCCCGCGGCGCTTATCGTCCTCCGAGCCGTCCAGCCTCGAGGTTCACCCGCTCACACATATGCACGCGTACACGCTGTACTACTACCCGTCTCTCTTTCGCTGGCCTCCTTAGCATCTCTCCTGCATCGGCGCTCGTTCGCCTACATTTCCGTGGCGTCCCGCGCGCGCGCGCGCGTCCTCGCTAATGCTCTCTCACGCTCTCGATTCCAGGTTCCCACCTCTCGTCGGAGCCGCGGGAGGAGCCTCGGAGTGACCCCGCCGGGACGACGATCCGAGACACGCCAACGATGAGGCGTCCTCCACGTTGCGCGATGACGATGGGCCCAGAGGGGCCGGGGTCAGAATGACGATCGGGATCGAGATTGGGATGAGAAAGACGGGGCGCGTTGTTTTCAATTTCGTAAAACGATTTCAACGTCGTACGCCCGATTGCCCCATCGTCGATTCGAAATTAACGAGCAAAATTTTAAACGAAGGAGCGAACGAGGGACGCGCCGCGGATTGTTTCTCCTCGCTGCCATTCGCTTGCCTCTTATCGGCCAACCCCCAGTTTTTCGATCGATCGAAACAAGAGGGTGTTGTGGGTGTTGGGGGAGGGAGGGAGTTTTGATGGTGGTGGTGGTGGTTGTAGTGGCGGTGGTAGCTGGGTAGCGGAGTAGCGGGCGGATGGTTTACAATCGTTGGATTTATCCGTTGGATTTTTTCCGCGTATGAGGAACGAATGACGAGGATATCGAGGCGATCATGTCGCTCGTTTGATGTACGGTGTGTTATGATGGCGGTGCGCGATTTCACGTTCAATTAAAATTGATATTTTGCAATTGAGTACCGAGTCATAAATCAGATAATAACACAACGTGCCTCTTGGGGGGTTCATAATGTATTTATTATATTACGGGCCTTAGCGACATGAAATATTTTACTTTGCTTTCGGTTAAAGACACTTGTACTCGTTGCATGGTATGCATTATTCAAAATATACATTGTACGATGCAGTCGAGGCGTATTTGGGGCACGAGGCTCTTTATGTATTGGTAAAAGTTTTCGATGCAATGAAACGAGTTTCGTAAGTAAGAGGAGAGCAAAAAGTAATATCGCTTTCGTTGATTTTACAAAAGTCGGGGGACAAGAGTATCGTTTGTAAATGACTTTATGACTTTCTATAATTTCTTTGTCAATTATACATGTATATATATATATATATATATATATATCATTCGTCATTGTGATGATTGTAACGTCGTATGAACTTAACGCATCTCGAGATATACGAATTTGATATAGAAATAGTTGCTAATGTATAAATGAGTTTAATGATTCGCCAATTAATGGACGATATGCCTTCCTTTACACTTTATTCCGACTTTCAAATCACGTCTCAAAGACAATGTGCAGGAAAATATTGACGATAAGCCGTCATTCATGCTGAGGTATTATTTGTTACAATGCTTACGAGGGGAGTGAAAAACTGCGCTGACTGACGGCCATTGATTTGCCCATATTTGGCCCATTAATACATACGTAAAGGTGCATATGACATTGTCGATAATTTGGGTTGCAGACGAGGATTGGGGCGCACCGGTGGAGGAGCCCGACTACATGCCAGATCGTGAGCCGACAAGCGTGACCTTGCCCCGGCTGTCACGAAGTCCGGAGCGCACCTCCGTACCGACCACGTCTCTGAAGCAGCTGCGCGGTAGCACCTCGCCGGTGGTCAACGGGAATAGGATGCGCCGGAGCGCGGAGCACAGGCAGCGCTCGCCGAGTCCACAGTATCAGCCCCGACTCGCCCCCGGCGAGGTCCTCACCAGTCCCCGGGAGCGCTTCCACGACGCCAAGGAAATGTTCCGGCAGATGGAGCGCGAGGCCATTGTTTCTAGGCCGGTCGCCGCCAGGATCAACGGGCGCGCGGATCAACGGCCGCCCCACAACAGGTGGGTTCGCCAACTTGACGGCACAACCGCTACACTCGCTGCATCGCGCCATCTCACTGGCTTTAACCAAGTGCCGCTCAATGCGGCTCTCCTTACTCTTGATGCTGTCGCAGTCGAGAGGGCGAATCAATGCGATTGGCATTTGGCTTACGCAAGTCGAATTTATGATAGGATGCAGAATAGGAGGCGAGCGATTTCGCCGTTGACTTAATCCAGAGAGACAATTTAGTTTTCTAAAAGTTAGTTTATTAAAGCGAACCCGTTAACGAGTCCAAATTCGTGTGCGCATTGAATTTCTAGGCCAAGTGGCAATGCGCACAAGTGATTATGCGCTTGAAACACCTCAGAGTTCGTCCTTTAAAACGATAAAACTTCATTTTATCGCTATTCAATTGAATGGAGTAGAAAGAGGTAACGCATGCATTATGATTATGTCGGTTAACTGGTGCACTTGAATTCAGGTTCAATCAAGTATGGTTATTATAGTGTTGCCGAGAATGGCCCAACATTGTCTTTCTCTTTCTCTCTTTTCTTCAAATGGCCTGATAATATAAATCCAGGATATTACGAAACGAAAGTTCAACGCTTAAAACGTTACAATATTACATTGTCCCTTAAATATGTCATTACGGGAAGAAAAATTTGAAAGATAAATTTTTAACTTTTGACATACGATAATAAGATTCCATTTTTATCCTACAAATTTATTATAGTCATTTTAATTTATACGTATTTATGGTCGTTTATGGTCGATGAAAATTGTTGCAAGACCAATATAATATGTCATAGTCAATAATTGAACTTTTATTATATAAAAAGATAAATAGAAAGATAAATGAAAAAAAAAAGAAAAAAAAAGAAGAAAAAAAAGAAAAAAAAATGAAAAAAAAAAAGAAAAAAAAAGAAAAAGAAAAAAAAAAGAATATAAACAAAAAGGAAGAAAAAAAGAAGAAAGTTTTATGTGTAATGTAATGAATTTTTATTTACATAAGACGTCAAATATAACAAGCATAAATAGTTAATTACAGTTAAATAATGTAATATCTGTATAAATATTATTATAAGCTTTTGGAGTAAATTTTGAGAGCAGCAATGGCAAACTCACTTTAAATTCATAAAAAAATCAACTTAACTCCGCTGGGTTATCGAGAAAACAAATTCAGGCAGCGCGGAGGTGCTTTTTTTCTTCTTGGTTTTTCATCTTCGTTTCATCGTGTTTTTTCTTGTTCAATTTTTTCTCTCTTCATTTTATTTATTTATTTATTTTTTTTTTTATTTTTTTTTCTTTTTTTTTTCTTTTTTTGTTTACAGCTCAGTGAAAAACAATAATTTACACCTAATAAGAACGTTCCGCAGTTAATATTATTTTTCAATGTATCGATGGATGGTATCAAGCATATCTCAGAATGTGCATCTCTATATAATTTCCGTGAGTCTTCGATTTGTTATTCCTCGCGTACGCGCAATATGATGAATCGGCACGAAACTGGCCACGGGATGACAAAAGAAAAAAAAAAAAGAAAAAAAAAAAGACGAAGAAAGAAGGAAGTGTAAGAACGAAATTATTAATTCTAATCCGCTTGAATGAGGCGAAGCGTAAAAATGGTCGAGGCAGAAATTTCACCCGGGCAATTCGATCGATATCTCGAACTTTCTATCGAATCATTTATCTAGCACACGGGGGGCCCGCGCATATAAAATTTCATAGCCGGTCGGCTTCTGCCTTATCGCCCAACATCGTTAAATTAAACATTAAACCTCGTGAACTTGGCGAGCCACGAGGACGGACGACCCGCGCGAGAATCGAAAGTGCGAGCGGCGCGCGCACGTATCCGCCAATCCATCGGTGCTAGAGAGATAGAGATAGAGCCGGTTTATCTTGGCACCCGATCACCTCTCCAGCCACGATAATTTTCGTTATACTTTCGATCGCTTCGGCTCGCCCGCGACTCTCTTCTATTTTAATCCTTCTCGTCCGTCGATTTGCTACGCCTCCGAAACTCTCGGGCTCCTCACTTATTCCGTTTATAGCGTAGAGTATAGAGCGCCGCGTCAAGTGTACTTTATAACGATCGTGACCGAGGCTTTCGGAGGGCGTTAATGCTAATCCGGAGGAGTGGCGTTATTTCGCGAGCGTTGGCCCCACAGCGCTTTCCCGATTTCCTATTCCACGCTTCTTCATTATAATCGAATCATTCGAGCAAATAATGTAATTAGATACCTGTAATTAGATTATTTGAGATTTCATTGACCGCGGGATATACAAGGTCATAATTGAACCCAGCAGCCAGCCCTCTGCTGCTGGTATGGGAAAGATTATAGGCAGAGCGCGTTAATCGGCTGAAATTGGTTCGCGATCGCGATTCCGAACTATAATTTGACGCGCGGAGTTTCATGGTGGAGAGAGGGCATTGGGCGGTCGGTGGTTCTCTCGCGCCAGGACTTTTCGTGCGTTCCTGATCGCTGGCTATTTTACACGCTCGTTAACGAGTCGCCCAGCTATTACCTTAGCAAGTCCGTAAGCGTCCTGAGAGATACTTGGGTAGGAGGTCACTCGCTCTTATTCCACCCCCCCCCCCCCCCCCCCCCTCAAACCGTCCCACGCACACAGCCGACCTCACACCGTTCGACGTGAATCCTTAAATTCGGTGCAATTTAATGTCGCGGGATAAATGCAAGCTCCTCCTCGTCGGATGCTCGCAAATTCTCGTTGCTCTTATGCCTTCGAGGTCAGGCCTTCGAGCGCGCGCGCGCACGCACGCACGCACGCACGCACGCAGACTATTGCTCACCGATCCGGAATGACCCTTCTTAGGTGTGCCGAAGCCACTGATTGTGGGTTTCGCGAATCGCCGTGACATTCCGAAGGTGGAAACAAAGCGATTCACACGCTTTGGCGGCGTTTTTCTTTTCATTGTCGAAACGCGCAAAGCGTCCTGTACCGAGGCATACCACTTGTCACTTGTCATGCCGTTGATTAATGCTGCGCGTAACTGCCGCTTGACGACCGCTTGGAAAGTGCAAGAAGAACGGCGCAAGAAGAATACTTTCGTGCCCCCACCGACTCGTAAGCCCGTCTCGAGGAAAATTGTAAGAATCGAGCTCGCGTTTCCATAATGGCGCGCCATTTATTAGCGGCGACCTAGGCGCTCGTGATAATCAGGCGACATTCCTCGCTCGAATGATCGATTGGCCCGACAGTAGTTTTCTTTGATATCGCCATTGATATCGCTCCCGAGCCTCTCCCTCTCCTCCTTAAAATCTCCTACCCTTCATCGCAAGCTTATCGCTTTAGTCGATAGGGCGGGCGAGCGTTACTCGCGGCAAATTAGCCCCGATCAGGCGATGAGAAACGAGGTGGTTCGATAAACAGGTCTCGTTACCAAGCCCAATCCTATCTCACCGTTTGATCTATCTACCTATCTATCTTGCATTAGGAGGCCCGGAGAGCGGGAATAATAACCGGCGAGCTTAATCGGGAGCGGGTCATAAATAAGGGAAAAGCGCCGTCGGTGCGAAAGCTCGGCCTTTGTATGTGCCTCGACTCTGTGAAAAAGTAGTCTCGCTGCATTCGTGGGACAATGATGTGGACGTAAGTGTTGACGTGACGTAGCGTTGCGGGGAGGGGGTGCGGAATTGTCGATGGACGACGGGCGGAGGAGGGGGAGTCGTGCCTCTCGCAACACTTGCTTCAAGGTCCACTGGCGTCGTCTAATCGGACTTGCGAATCTCCGCTGCTTTCTAGGCGCACCCTTAGCCTGACCTGACTGAGCGAGGCTCGCCGCGAAAATAGATTAGATTGTCATTGTCATAATTGAATGGGAGATGGAAAGGGGTGGGGGTGGGGGAGTGGGAGGGGGAGAGGCGATGAGGAGAGAACGAGCGCAGCCTGGATTCCATTCGGCGCTACTGCCATTCACAAGCCTCGAGAAAATTGTTGCGCGTGCGAGGAAAGTTTCCCTACGCTACGGTGCGAATGCTTGCCGCCACTTAGGATAACGAGATGCGTCGCTGTACGGGAGCAATCGGGTGATCGGGTTTTCTTTTCGTTTCTTTACTTTTTTATCATCACCGACCCGTCGGTCCTATTTTTCCCTTTATTGTCGGCCGGTGCTCGAGAGTCAGTTTCGTTGGGAGAATAAATTCCCGACTGAGATTTATCGGCGCCAATGATCGTGATGCTTATTAGGTGGGGCGAATAAATTACAGGCGCAATCATTGGATAAGCGGCCGAGGAGAAGAATGTATAAAGTTTGACAAATTCGAATGATTAATGGAGGCGTGGCAGGGCAAATATTTGTTATTAAATAAGCGCGTGAAATTTCGCGTAGGACTGGACTTTTGAGGCTCGCTATGAAATTTGACAATCGTCATTAAGCGATTAAAAGGATCTTTTCATTTATTTTTATAGGGTTGACGTTCAGTACCCTCGCCTACCTCCTCCAAACAATCGGCCATAATTTTTCTAAATTTTTCTCTCAACTTTTTCTCTATTAGGAGAGAATATTGCGCTCTCATATGTAAGGCTGTGCTTTTGAACTCGATCCTTGGTGAATTAACGAGGACTAACCGTTCATTTATAGAGAAACGACGCTTAAAATTATTATTTTCCTAACGCTTTCCAATGATTATAATTTTCGATCACTCGATAAACAATCTAAATAATTCCGCACAATCTCATAATTTATTCATCAATAATATTATTCGAACAATTAAGGAATGCCAAGAAGACACGACTTGCAAATGGAATAGCAAACTCTTTGTTAGCAATACAATTCTATTCTTCCTTGTGAATAATAAGATATTCTTATGCTTATGCAAATACAGTTTGGCGCGAATATTTTACTAAACTATGCGACATTCCGAGTTCATTTGTAACAAAAGATTTCTCGTCCTCCTCCCTTTGCCACTACCAATGTTCAAATGAAAGTTGCCTTAGAGAGTTAAATTCACAAATAACGGAAAATACGAAGCCGATGGAGCTGCTCACATTTGTGTGATCTCAACCGATGATTCCCTACTATTCCTCATCCATAGAAGCACCGTTGTGGATTATCCACTCTTTATAGACAGATATTAATAATGGCAATTATTTTATCACGAGATCGCGCATTTCCTCTACGAAACGGGAATTATAAATGAATATGACTGGGAGGTACGTGGAATCTGTGCCGGTATTCGTCTTTTACAAACGTTCTGTGCCGACAAACGCACACGTTTCATTGGCTCACGTCTCCGCATTAATAATACACTGCGGATTCTTACGGATTTTGAATTTTCTAAAAGTATGGCGAACGATGGTTGAATTTTCTACCGCTATGCTCGTTTTCGGACAAATTCATTAGGCAGTTGTTGCATGGGCGGCACGGTGACCCGTAAATTACTATTATTAAAATCCATGGATAGCGCAGAGACTTTGGAAAATCGTTTCGTTTCTTTGTCAAGAGCGGATTTTCTCCCGGGTAATTCTTTTGTGAGGAAGGACAGGCCGCCGGGGTCGAAAGAACGCAATTTGAAAATGATTCACCGAGCGAAAGCTTTCCTTTTTAACAGTTAGATTAGTTAATTTCTGGTCACCGAGTACCAAAAAAAAAAAAAAAAAAATTAAAAAAAAAAAAAAATAATGAAAAAAGAAAGCCACATCGACTCGAGTACGGGGGAAACGCTGGAGGGCGGGCAAGGGCCGGGCTGTCACCATCCTCGTCTCACAGGCCAAATCTTAATTAGGATGCTAAAAGTGGAAGCCCCTTATAAAAGGGCAGCAATATAAAGCATACATCCATCTTCCACTCAGCTGACATTTTTCAATACGCGGGTCGACAACAAAGTCGACCGAGTCTCGACGGACTCGTCCCTTCGACCATCCATTCGATATTCTTTCTAATTCTCTCCTCCTCCTCCCCCCCCCAACCACCCCAATCCCCTTTCACCCGGCGAGCCTGTAAAATATCGTCGATCTATGGCATTCACGGCTCGTTTAAAGACGTGTGATTCGCTTGTGCAGATCGGAACCGGTGTCGCGTCAGTCATCGCACGAGGAACCCCTGCAGGCGCAGCATCATCAGCGCTCGAGTCGCCAGCAGCACTTTGGCCAGCAGCCGCTCCACGAGCGCCTGATTCGTCGGGGCGCAGCGCCCCATCCGCATCACGGGGGCCCGGCCGTCGAGCAGCCGAGCGAGGATCTCGGCTACTCCAGGGCGCGGCCGAGGCCGCGCGGACATCATTATCAGACGGGTAACGGACAGCAGCCGGAGCCCGAGACATCGAGGCCCCGCCCGTGGAGCTTCTACGAAGTGCCAATGGCCGCGCGAGAGCTGCGCGGACCCAGGAATCCCGTGGACTCGAGAGAGGTAAGGGACGGCACGAGCCCACGAGCCTACGAGCTATCTACCTTCATTACGTTCGGCAAATTTTTTCTCCCTCACCCGGGGTCACCTCTCCACCCGAGACTCTGCGTCTTTCGACCTCCCGATTATTATAAAAATATGTATTTTTAACCAGCTCGAGCGCGCCCCTTCCTTCATTCCCATTCTAAGCCATCCAAACTATTTTCGTAGATTCAACAAGTTTTATTAATATTATTATTATTATTATTATTATTATCATTATTATTATTGTTATTATTGTTATTATTGTTATTGTTATTATTATTATTACTAATCATGCATTAATTATAACAAAATCACAAATGTCATTATCACCACAAAGTGTGGTGGCATTGCCCAGCTTACGTTTAATGGAATAGGAATACGCGATTCAATTCGTAAGACTACGCGCGCGAGTCTCGGCACGAGAACGCTAATATTAGCAATGATTATAAAGAATAAAACGAGCTATTAAAAAACGAAGGAAATGTTAGAGAATGATAATAATTTTTGGGCCGAGAGTTGTTGTAAAAGTTGTCGCGAAACTAGGTAGATAGATGCACCTCTGTATTAACCGCGTTTGGTAATGCAATTTTGTTTTTGTTTTTGTTTTTGTTTTCGTTTTTGTTTCTTTGGTATTGTTTTTTTGTTTATGTTCCAAGGAATTTAACGAAGGTTAGCGAAATATGTGAAATTAACGATTATAATTAAAGCTAACGGCTATCGGCAATGCGCAAACTTTCTTGATCGTGTGAGAAACGCGTTTCTTACGCATAATTATAACTTAAGCAACAGCTCAAGCTAATTTACAATGATTAATGGCCATTTATTTGTGCATATAAAAATGATTTACGTACGTCGATGACTGTAGCTGCTAAACAACATTTAAGCTGCGAAAGCTTGCTCGCAAGTTTATGATGAGACTCGCGCTCGATATCCATTTCGAACAAGTAATTCTTAACTTTTAATTCAAAGTTATCGCGTGCCCCTAGCGCCGCACGCTGCAAAGTCAATTGTAATATCAAATGCATGGAGAAAGGTAGAAAGGTGGGCTTTTATTAGCACTTTTATTAGCATTAGCAGCATTATAAGCCAACGTCGTCTCGCGTTCGAGAACACTTAACGGTTTGACGCCTCAATCTCCAATGTAACAAACATGTGAATTATTAAAAAAGATGAAAAAAAAAAAAAAAAAAAAAAAAGAAGAAAAAAAGAAAGAAAGAAAGAAAGAAAGAATAGAAAACATAATGAAAAAGGAAAAGGGGAGGAATAAAGTAAGGATAAGTGTAAACAATTCCGGATTACCTACAATTACTTCAGTCTTAACATTTCGCTATAAAAAAAAAAAAAAAAAAAAAAAAAAAAAAAAAAAAGAAGAAAAAAAGAAAGAAAGAAAGAAAGAAAGCGTGCCCCGTGAAACGTATATTATTTTGTTGAAATGAATAAAAATGGGAGGACGTAAATTATGGATGTAACGGATAACGTAGCCTTGTTAGTTACTTTGTTGAAACGCGTTAATTAAAAGCTGATTGGAAGAGGAAAGACAGTTACGATTTAAATACGCCCCATAAAAGCCTGCTTTCTTTAATCTTATAAGCTGCAGTTTATTTATTGTTTGCATGCGATATTTTCTCGTAACCTTACATTGTGGCGTGATAAGCTTAGGAGAGGAGGGAGTCTAATGGGATCTCATTACATGAAAATGCACTTTCAGTTCGTACGTGGACGAACAGGCAGTCCGATGAGCCAGTTTTAATTTAACCGGAGCTAGCTCGCTCGCTGCCTCATTTAAATGCATTCCCGAGCGACCATTGTAACGAGACGCAACCCAGTCCCCACCACCACGAGCACCATTGGCCAACACCAGTAAGAGCCTGTACTTCTGTTTAGGTGCGGGATTGCTCTCGAGGGGTCCAGGGCTCGCGCGACAAGCAGCAGCGTCCGAGGCCCTTCGCCTATGGCGAGCTCGCCGACAACGAGCGCTACCCGGGACTCGACAGGGAGAGCGCCCGTCCCGCTCTGGAGATCGGTGGTGGCGGACCATCGACGCCCGCGCGCTACCGGCACAGCTACGCCGAGCCCCCGAGGCTCGGCCTCGCCGCCCTTCATCCATACTGAGGACCAGCACGGCGGAACGTCCTTAGCCAACAAGATGGCTGTCGACGAGTTGCTTCGCCTTCCGAGCCTCAAATCCACTGTCTCGAATACCGACAGATACGCCCCCTCCCCTAATCCTCCTTATCACACTACGCGAGCGCTTTCTGTATATATGCCAATGATATTGATAGGGGCTGGCCCGCGAGCCTAAACTCCGGACACTCGGTTCTTCGCTGCACTTGTCCTCGACTTGTTCCCCTCACAATCGCGCACAAGATCCGCGCCACGAAAAAACAGACGCGAGCCATTGCTGCGGTGGAGACTGATGTTACGTGACGCGGATGAGCCACGGCTATGCTCATTCCAAATGGATGGTTTGCAAATGGATCATGGGGTGCGCGCCGTTAACCAGATGTTGGGTGCAGTTGGCCCAGCTATTTAGTTCAGCCATCGACCGCTCACCACTTTACAATCTCCCAAAATTACGAGAGATGCGTTTCCGTTGCTTCGTACGAATCTTTCTCATCCTTGTTTCCAAATACGCTTCAACGTTTTTTATGGCATGCGCATTGTTTATGCCAATCGATTTACAATTTCAACCACTCGACGATTACAATAGTCTTCGACTGCGTCGCTTCAATTACAAGTGTGTCGTAAATTTCACAAAACTCGATTTAACAACTGTACTTACGTATAATTATGGCCCATTGTATTGCTTAAGAAATGTTACGAAGCATTAATGCGCGCGCAGTTAATGCTCAACGGACAAACGTTTGTCATTGATGAATTGACAATTGTCAGGCTTGTATTTGCAAGCTCGAGCTTTCGCCCGGCTTATTATTATTATCGAGATTCTCGGGAATTTCGCAATTGACTAATTGTCGAGAATTTACGAATCCTTTGAAGATAAAAAGCGTTCTTTAATATCATACTCTTGTCGACTCTCTTCACTCCTCTCTTCACTCCCCCTCCAAATCCTTTGCAAGCATTTGCGAAATTTCAATCAACTACCATGCTAATGCTTTCAAAGGAATTTGCCTTTGGCTTCTTCTCGTCGGATTGTAAGTTTGCGATTCTACCATTTCCATCGCTTGTAATAATGATCCAAGACCAAATGTAATTACTACCTTTCTCTCGCGAGGCAACAAAAGGCCTCGAATTTCAGAATTTAACTCAATAATCATAATACTTTTTATTCGACATTTGTAAAAGTAATTCATAACGACGATGTAAGATTTGCTCATTGTAAGCATTGAGAAAAATGACGAAAATAATTTAAGGCGGCAGAAAATTATATTTCCTAGTATGTCATAAGCCACGATAATGCGTATTGCTAAATAAACCATCGAGTATGAATGAAATGCTTTTCTCGTGCATTGTTGCGTTATTACGCAATCGACGATTTAATTAATAATATTACACATGTCTGACATTATAACGTGTAATAAAGTAATAATTAATAATATCACTCGACGAGTAATGTCGAATCTTGCATGAAATTGATAGTCCAACGAATATTAAACTCAAGGAATTATTAATTAATGGATTAGTTGCACAAATGGTGTTGTAATTATCAGTTTAGTTATTATAGCCGTTGTGCCTGTGATGAATTCGGCGATTGTAGCTGCAATGAGGTCTCTTCTACCTTAGATCGGAAAGTTACACCAAATCATTCAATCGCGCAAGCATCGGGCGTATAAAAATCCATTGCATCCGACGATCTTATCGCCAGATCGCTTATCGTCAGACCGAATTCTTATGATCCATTGACATTTGGTAGATGTAACTCGGAGAGTGCCATTATTGTCCTACGCGTTGGCTCGTTATAGGATCTCTTTGTAGGACCACTAGATTGCACAATTCGATTTTTTTTTTTTTTACGACTAATTTATAACAATCACGGAAGAAAAATCAATCGAAAATATAAATAACTAAAGAGCAAAAACTTGTACAACCGTGAGTGACAATAATAAAGCACAATCGTAGAGTAAAATATCGTAGATCAACTAGAGAAAAGAGTTGTTACCTCAATCTCACCTCCCTCCCCTTACCGCCCTCATCAGAACAACGATGCACGGTTGAAGTTAGTTAAACACCAACGAGCATTCGCTCTTTTTCTTTTTTTTTTTTTACGAATCCTTACTCGTGTTCGTAAACAACTATTGTAAATTTATATTCGATAATCCGTTCTTTATCATTAAGAGCGTTTAATACTATTTTAATAAAGTTATATAACGAAAATTAATAATCACTGTGCAATTGCAAGATTGTCAAAGCGTATTGTCAAATTGCTGATAAACTGTTATTCAAGTGCTTCTATTTTGGAGAAGAAAACAACTTTTGCGCCAATGTTCGTTACACTTAAATAATATGTGCCTAAAACTAGAAAAAATTAATGAGGACGTATCGTTGTCGTGCGTTTTATAAATGATAATTAAATGATATAATAAATGTTAAATGATGAATACATTTTTGACATAACGAAAGGTGCATAAGCGTTTTGCGATAATGAATTGTTGTTAGATGTTTTAGATATGATTCGTTAATGAAATATTTGTTTATAATGTTACGTACATATATATATATATATATATATATATATATATATATATTAATAATTGTAATTTCAATTTCATAATGGATATCATAATTCGCGCGAGTAAAAGCGTCACATCCACTAACGACTGTATTATAATAAAAGGGACAATAATAAGTTGTTCTATTGTTGCTAATGAATATCCTTTATATGACTTACAACTTTATACTTTAAATGTTATCTTTGATTATAATAAATATCAATTCATAAATATGCTTTAGGATTTCAATGGCTTTCTTCATCATTCGTAGATACGATCAATGAATAGTAAAATGATAATACCAATATGTACATAAACAATTTATTAGCAAAAAATTAATTTTTCAATTAATAACTTTTTTAATACTTCTTTCATGCGAGATGATTATCAAATGTAAAAACATTCCTTGATAATAAATCGAATCATTACATAATTGATTACAGACGGTTTAAATGATCTTCAATCATTATCGTACAAAATATTTACTTGATAATTTCATATTATAGTATTGTTGCTATAAAATGCAGCATATAAACTTTTCACTATATATTCCGTTTATTATACCGATATTTTCATTATATTTCTAATGTGCGAATAACTCATTAGATCAAGAGTGTATCGAATCAATGGCAATTATGAAAAAAAGTAATGTATAAATTAATTTGCATACAATTTCAATGAGCGAGACTAATCATTATGTAAGATTCTGTGAAGCGTTTCATCGGACTAATTAACACTTTTCCCTAAACATACTGAAAAACTTTAATCGGCGTCTCTCAATTCAGCCGAAATGCCCTTAGTTAGCGTGATTAACGGACTCGGCATAAACCAACAAAACCTTGATAATCCGAATATCGAACTTGACCGCTTACTGAAATTTTTTTATTATCATTCGCTGGACGAAGGCGAGTCTCGGGTGTAAATAGAAGTAGCGTGAAGGGGACGACGAATAAGAGTATTTCGCTCGGGTAGAAGAAATGTTATTTTTTCAAGAATTTTGCAATCGTAATTACGCGCGAGCCTCTTGCTCTTTCAAAATTGTTCTCTCGCTCGCAGTTTGAGCGCAAGTAGTTTTATCATCGCGCGAGGACGAGGACGTCAACGGGGACTGCAGCATAGTTGGAGATGAGAGAATTTATTGGAAACATTTGCTTTACCATTATTGTGAAATTGTTAAGCAACGCATATCCACTTGGACGTAATTGCGCTTAAGGTAAAGCTACATTATCGGCTGCTTCTATTTTTATCATTGAATGCGTTTTATTCCGATTGAAAAATATTTGTCGAATTTAATAATTCGAATCCTCAGGGAGATAAAGAATTTACTTTACTTACGAAGTGTTTCATCTTCATTGTCGAATTTCTTTTCAATTTTAGCGAAATTCCGGTACATATTATAAAATGTATTGTTCCATAGTTGTAATAGCACAACGATTTTAGTCGACAAGCCAAGCACAAATTTTCCAGTGTCTGGCATTAATTTTTTAATAAACGTGGAAAATAGATATTTTTAAAAAAATTTTTTAGAGTATTATAAGGATAATTAAAAATTAAATTAAAAATTTTACCCGAAACTATCATATGACTTGAAATATTAAACATAAATGGGCAACATCTAAGATGCAAATGTTCATATTGCCGATGAACAATTTTTTAATCTATTCAGTTTTAAGTTTATATAAATAATGTTTCTCGCAAACGTATTCAAATAAAATAATCCAATGACTTTTATGTACGAATAAATGTATATATCTATATATATATATATATATATATATATATATATATATATATATAAACATTTTTACATGTGTATGTGTGTGAGTGCGCGCGCTTGTATAAATACTCGTAAGCTTCAGCATCTATGGCTGGCTGTTTATAATTATCATTTTGGAATAAGAATAATTTCTTTTAAAAATAGCTTAACATTTTTATCGTAGAAAATAGTAAAATTTTACGATAAAGACAAGATGCCTTATGTACTTCTGGCCATATGGGATTGAAAAAATATAATTATGTATCCTTAAAATACCTCGTAATTCAAAATTAGTTACTAAACATTTTAGTATGTTTAGCGTATTACTATTACTTTCGTGAAACATGAAAATATTTTTCATTCATTATTTATAAATTACGGATACTTTTTAGGAATCCAATTTAAATAAACTTTGTTTTTTTTTATTTTTTATGATACAGATAACATTTGGGCGAGTGTTCACGGACAGACACGCATGTACTTCAAGTAACATCAAATACATAAGAAGTTAAAAGAAGATTTATTGTAAATTTATCTTCCATGTTTGAAAGAAAATTCAAAAAGATTATCCATACTTTAACATCAATAATTTACATATTTACTTCATAATAATGTTTCACACATAAGCGTATTCGTTCACTTGAAAATACATTCTTAAATACATATATATATATACATATATTTCTGTGAAATTTTATCTTAAGTCTACTATACCTAGATGAAAATAATTATCATTACATCACAGTTTGACTTAGTGTTAAAGAAAAATTTA